ACATGACATGGAATTACTCAATTACCACACTCACACACATACATTGTGGCAATTGCATTCAACTCGAGTATTTCTATGCGTATCTATTTCATTTCACGTACTGCACCATGTGTATCTAAAGCAGTACCAGAGTAAAGTTTTAAAAGTACTTCCACAGATTCATTTCTAATGACATAGGGGTGGACTTACTGTGTAAATGTAGTAATAGCCTTGCAAGTGTGACTGAAAGAATAGAAATAACATTTTTAGCATTTTGTTCTTTGACAATAAGAACAATAAGCAATTATGTAGATGACTTTGACCATCAGTTAATTGGTCTGTGAGGTGAAAGCAGTCCTTCAATATATTATATCACACTAGTCGTCCACTTACAGCACTGCCATTCTTCTGGGTGTAGAAGAACAAGGTAGTATTTTGCAGCCTGAACCAGTACGTCGCCCATCTCATTTTCTAAGGACAAAACATTTAAAAATAATCAAATTGAGTTTTCATAAGCACATTAAATGCCATGAAATGCTACAACTTACCATGGTGTCCTTTCTTTTCTGCAGGAAGCCTTCAAACAATAACCTGGTCCCATCGACAGACATGTCGGCCCTCAGTCGTCTGATTTCACACTGCAACTACCGGTTGTTTTACTTCCATCTACCTGTTTGTGGTGCGACTTCCCCCTCACGTTTGCTGAGAACAGTATCGTTTACAGCCCCATCACTTTACCACTTCTCCATTCTGCTTCTGTAAAGTCCCAGTTCACGAAGGTAATCAACGCACATCTACATTAGGAACGGCTGATTCTCCCACTGCTCTTCAAGGACACATTGACACATCAGAGGGTGTAAATGTCATTTATTACAGATATTTAAAACCACTTTATTTTCCTGCCTGTTGTTAAATTAGCAGTCGCTTCGTCCAGAAACACACGTGCGGCTGTGCCAGATAGAACTCTCCATTGTAAATGTTTGGAAAAGAGAATGACAAGAAACACTTCCGTAGTTTTAAGGTGGAGGAGGTGCGCTGAATGGCTGTTAATAGCATAATCCCCTGCTCTATGGTGCCTCTATATTCATAAAAATATAATATGAGGAACAAAGCTCTATTTGAAAACCAGAAAAAAATAAAAACAAAGTCATAAATGATAAACCACGAGGACAGCTTTGATAATACTAAATACAAAAATACATAGAAAATGTAAGTCCCTCCATCTCATGCACTTAATACAGACAAGAAAACAAAGAAACAGGTTAATAAATTAACACACAAAATAAACAAGTGCATGACATCCATGACATTTCAAGTGTTAGATGTAGCGCTGTTCGTACTAACACCGTGTTTCTTCTGGCTTGTGGCGCTGCCTACGGGGCTGATCCTAAAATAGTTTAAGGAATACATATATGATATACTGCATATACACAACTAAAAACAGATTCACGTCCCTTTGTGGTGTTTCTGTGTATGGCTGCCTCTCTCTCTGCTCTCCAGCCGTCTCACTAATAATACTGACCTGAGGGGAAACAAAGCTGAATCAGCTAAAAACATCTGATCTGATCCGAACTCGTCAAACAGATCACAGGCTGTCAGCATGGACAAGGGATATTTCAAATGTTGCTGTCCACCTTATCCCCACGTTAACAAAAAAAATAACCCAAACTATTTTTAATTGCATATAAAATGTACCGATGATTTTTGTTCTTGTTCGAGGATGGTGGGGAGGATGTTGAGGCGATGAGCCTGGTCGGTTGGTTAGTCAAGTCTTTGAGAGTCTTTCTGGGAGGAGGGGACGAGCAAAGTCAACAGAGGGACCTGGGGAAGGAAGTGGTTGTGTCATGCCGTCTGATCACCGTTGTTTGAGCAGAGCTCTGTACATGGCGAAGCCCAGCACGGCAAACACGGTGGCACCGACGCTCGCTCTCAGCCAGAAGGTGGAGTTCTTCAGGTCTGCCTGAGCCATGTGCCTGTGAGGAGGACCGAGACAGGAAGCGGGTGAGGACACCAACAAACAACAGTTACAGTATTTTATCCATTCTTAAAAACCACAGTGGGACATCAAAGACAAAACAAAGTCATGTGCTCTCTCCTGTGGAAACTTCCTCAATCGGGACGATTAATGACCAGTATTAGTGGCCTGTGGCACCAGCTTGAAAGAGGAACACATGCTTTCTCTTGACATTTGCTTTGGTGAACAGGACTAAATCATGAAGCAGTTGGGGGGGGGGAAAGAAGGAAATATGCTGGAGTATGAGAAGCAGCTGCGGAGCAGGGGAAAAAATACAAATTCTACAGAGCCCTGGAGGTGTCATGGACCAAAGAGGAAAACAGAAGAGTGAGTAAAATATTTCATATGTATTTAATATTATTAGATATTATGCAGAGGGAAGAAAACAGACATTTTCAGTCCATGTAAAGTTTTAAGACGACTGCAACGAGACGACAATCATCAAGTTTTTGCAAATAGTGATTAGTCAATATTGAAGGAATTTAACAGTATCCATATCTCTCAGTCCGAGATCAAACGAAACCAATACGAACAGCATGAAATCAAATCTGGCAAAATCAATTATTAAATTCACAATAATCATTTAATTTAACTTTGACATCTGCTGAGCACCGAAAAGATTTGAAGTTAAAACCTCGTCTATGACACACAACTCCAGCTGCCCAGGACGGAATCACAAACAGTGGAGAACTACAGACTCATCAGTTTATGCCCAAAGCGAAGGAGGAGTCAGCAAAGCAGAGAAATCTAAATGTTGGCGTACGACTTCAGTTGTGACCTTAGCCTGCAAATTAAAACCTTGCAGCAGCTGGTCAGGGTGCAGCACTGACTGGTCAACAGACCTACAACACACACACACACATTCAGATGCCAGAACAGATGAACTCGACACTGCTCTCGCTCTCTCGGGGTGGATTATGGTAACAAGTCTGAACAGAGTCAAAATGTGTTTTGATCAGATTACAATAGGACATTACAGTGAAAATGCAAACAGAATGTGATCTGACCATTTTAACTTCAGATCTGAATGTGGAAATATTAATATAAAAGGTTTAAATCACATCTAGATACAATCTGTGTTAACGGAGTCATCCTTTCCTGTGGATGTGGGTTCTGCCTTTACCTGTCTGAGGGAATTAGCTGCACAGCACAGCCCTCCATAAAGACGGACCCCTCCACGCTGGAGACAGCTGCAGCCTGAAATCCTCCTCTGACAGCAGGCAGCCCCCCCACACACACACACACACAACCTCAATGTCATCAGCATCACCAACTCTAACCAGCACAAAAGGTAGGAATTTCATTCAACACCTAAACCCTTAAAAGCTCAAGCTGCAAAAGCACAAAGTGCAACCATACAGTACCTGGTCAGATGTCACTGCACACTTCAAACAATGAAAAGCTGCACACACACACATCACAAACTCCACACACCACAGGGCCACACTAGAAAATCTCTTTATCGTTGGGTAAAATATAATCAATAAGAAGTAATATTTTCACTCCCTTGAGTTAAGTTAATCTATAATCATCTCCACATTATCTTTTGCATATTTTACAGAAACTGGCCGTTGTGGCGTATTTGATTTTTGACCACAAATCATAGACTGTAGTTAAAGATGAACGACATCACAGCTGAGAATAACTGATGATCGATCAAGAGCATTTAGCGGCAGGACCTCGATACTGTGGCTTCAACCCCTGATCCCTTCTGTGCAGACTCTGGCTCCAAACCTGGTCGGCACACGATGGAATCATATGAGGGATATTTGAGCTTTATTTCTTGATAATGGGAGGAAGAGGAGAGGGTCGTCCATCTTAATATACAGTCTTTGGTCCATGCCACTATTAGTGAGTTGTTAGTGATTTGCACTTGGTTATTTTCTCATCTTTTTAAAAACAGAGAGACTCAGACTTATTTTGGTTAATTTAGTTTTGCCCACGATGGAAGATGACTTTAAATGTCAACTGATTTCATGTCATTTGAAATAAAATCTAACGCTGATAACAAACCCTGTTTTCAATAAACACATTGGACATTTGATGTGGTGTGTCGGCCCCTTGCACTGCCTGGTCTGGCCTGTTTGGTGTCATGCTATTAATAGCACCAGAGATTAAAAAGGCATGAGCACAGAGATTTCGCACTGGCAAACGTTCAGGCCATTTTGGACAAAATAATTAAACATATGACACCTTACCGCGTAATCCAACAGTAAACACAGCCATTCAAACCCTGCACTCACATTCAATAAACCTCCCACAACACCAAGCTCTCTTTACTGTGGAAATGGACTAATGAAAAAAAGGTGACAATATTTTTACTGAACACATGCCATTGGCTGCAGAGAGAAAGGTGAGGAACAGATGAGCCATGCAACATAAACAACAGGCAGATTAGCAGAGGGTGAACACATGCAGGAGGAAGAGAAAGAAGGGCAGCCAGAAACATGTGTATGAACACCTACAGAGTGAAAGGAAAAAAATGGGAAAAACAGAATGAAATGACACGAAAATCAATGTAAACAAGAATCATTGTAAAATGTATGAAATCTTAACCCACAGGAGAACAGGTGAAAATAAGCTATTATTCTGGTGTATGCACAGAGGTGTGGATACAAGTTAAGTTATACAAATAACAAAATGCTGAGTCTCCTGTAGGTGCAGACTTCGGTGTGAGGAATGGAAATGAAGACAGAAAACATCATAGACAAATCAATCCATCACTTTTTGATAACTGAAGAGGGTCGATGTCATAGAGAAAGAGACAAGAAGAATCTACAAAATAAAATCACAGGACAAACATGCAGACATCAATGATGTTTTCTGTCTGAATGAAACACAAACCAAAGAAATTGGTTGTATTTCTCTAATTTTCTATGCAAATACAATGCTCGTTAGATTTACTGTTTGCATATCCACTGCAGGACAGGGGAGGTAAATGTCAAAAATAAAAGGTTCCTGTGAGTTTTAAAACATGCAACTGTCAACTTTCACAACTGGAATCAATGTTTTGTCTGTATCGTGTAAAACATATCTACTTTCTTCTAGTTCCTTGTGACTGGACCTTATATTTGCTAATAATTAATCAAATTTTAATAGCAGTTCAACATGAAGATGGAATATTGTAATTATAACATTATAAGATTCTATAAAACAAGAAGTTAAGTATTAAGTATCTTCTCAATGAGATTCATGTATAGGGGTCAGTATTATGAGTATTATGTTTTCACAAGCAAATAACATCATGCATTTTGAACATGGACTCTGACACACTTGTTACCTCCCTGGCAAGCAGCCTTTGTGTTAGCCGGCACAGCATGGACACACTTTTCTGTGTGAGACTGTACAGAGAGCGGGCGGGTTCACTGGAGCTGGAGCAGAGACCAAGACACCCAGCATGACTGATGGGTGAAAGTGAATTATACTTCAGCTCACAATTAGCTGCAACTTTTGACTGCAAAGAAGTCATCTGCCTCTATCCACTCTCAGACTTAGGAACTACATCGATCAGCAAAATGCTTTAATCACTCTTCGACTAAAACACTCAAGACTCCAGATTTGTTGTTAAACAGGTGAAACAATGACGTCTGAGACAGGTTGTCGATGTTTTGATAAGAGACGACGCAACCAAAGATTATTCTATGGAAACAAGCATCCAACTTGCTGAGGTGCAGCTGAAGTGAGAACAGAACAGAAAACAAAAGGAGAATTTCCCCTCAGGATATGGCTATGCAATGTCTGAATAGCATTTTTCCCTGCAGTGGATATGTGGTGTAAATCTGACAAGTGATGAGCACAGTAGGAAAGAGCACAGGGGAGCTGTCACCATCACCACTGTTAGCTTGGGTAAAAAAAGGAGCCCCTCTGTGACTCGAGGGTGGGAGACAGAGAGGAGGAATGAGTCTATGTTAAAACACTAGAGCTTATTCTATGTATGAACCTGTTGAAAACGACCCTGCGGAGTTGGGCCTTTATATTGCGCAGCAGCTCCAACTTGAGGAGTTTCTGACACAGGCAATAGGTGCACCTGTTGCAGGGACACATGCAGCGGTGACGGGCGTGGCTGCGGAAAAACACACAAAGATGCGTGTATTCACCACCATACAAAAAAACAATACACACCACACAACAGACACAGAGGAGGAGGAGGAGGAGGAGGAGGAGGAGGAGGAGGAGGAGGAGGAGGAGGAGGAGGAGGCCAGAGCCAGGTGAATAAAAACCTCAACCTTGTTAAACCACCAGGTCCAAAGGAGGACCTTACTCTGAGCTGAAACCTTAACTGCTGCTATTTACCTGCACACTAACCAAAGTATAGACAAGAAACCATCTATGAAGAGATGTTCTGATACCATTTTCCCCGATACAATACTTGAACTTTGCATATTGACTAATATCCAGAACAGATCTGATACCAGTGCAGTTTAAAAAAAACAACTTGCACTCAACGTGTTTTAACAGCTGTATGCTGATAACAATCCGGACAATAGGATTTCAGGTATGCAAAAAGGACATCTAGCGGCCATGTACCATTGAGTGCTAATTGATTTACTCTGAAATCTAATCCGATCTGAGAGCTTTGAGGAGTTAAGACGCTCTACAGGCTCAATAAAAATCAAAAGATTATCCTCCCTGAATTTCAGGCTGGGACTGGCATGATTGCAAACATGAATACACAGAGAAGTACATTACAAAAAGCATAAAAAGACCAACAGAGTGTGCAATTCTTTATGTAGTCCTCATAAACTGAGTGCCGTGGGTAGGTAATTCCCAAAAAATATTAAAGGAAAATTATCACTGTGTGCTGATACTTCCTGATAAACATAAAGCTGCTCCGATACCATTTTTTCCTTTTTCAATACCAATACCTGGACTTTGCATATCGACCGATACCATATAACAATCAGAGATTTAAGTCTTGCATTTGGTACGAGTCCCAATTTTACTTGTGGGACTTTCAGGCTTTAAACATTTCTGTGATTTCTGGGAAAAGGTAAATGCAATTTTATCTGGGTGAAATAAACTTCTTAAAAATAAACATCCTGATTTTAAATTGGTACGTAGATTCACATATTCTCAGATGCCGACCCAGAATGTTTGGCAGTATCTGAGGCATCTGCGATGCAGGTTTTGGTATCGGAACATCTCTAGGTCAAAGAAGGAAAAGGCATGTGCATGTGTAGGAAAAGATAGACACCATGGATATAAGTGCAGGACTCTCAGATGTGAAGAATGAAACCAAAAAAATGGGGTTTAATACTCACGGATACATGGCCATGGTTGTGAGTCTAGTGTAGATGTCTTTGATGGGTGCTTCGGTCGTGTTGCACGTGAACGGCTGGGGTGGGTGAAGCTTGTGCTTACGGCAGAACTCGTGCGGTGAAAGGCTGTAGTGCTGCCGTATTTCGTGCAGATCTGACTTGGCAGCGATCACCACACATGGCGTCTTGCTGTCAATGAAGTATTGCTGCCAAACACAAGCAACCAATGTTACAAGTTGGGTCGTATATAAAGCTTGACCTTCATCTATAAACATTCAGCTGCCTAATGAAACATCTACACACCTTGTACACTTTGGCACAGTATTCAAAAGAGTGTGGGCTGTTGATGTCATACACCAGGCAGACCACGTCACAGGCTAAGTCCTCCTCTGACAGGAAGTCAAAATCTGGCATCACCTCATGGAGCTTTTAGTGCGGAGACAAGAGAGTGAGCAGAAAGAGAGGGAGAGACGGATTGTACAGATGGACAGATTAACATTTTGGAGAGTGCCAATGCTGATTCGCAGTAAAGTGAAAAAGACCAAGATTATGTAACAATAATCCAAAGAGAAGACGAAAACGTGATTCACTGAGTGAATGGTGCTTACCAGCAGGTACTTCTCCTGACCATAGACATAGGTCGTGCTGATGGCGTAGAGGGACTTGTGGTCTTCTCTAATCCGCCTCTGATGCTGCAGAGGAAAATAAACAAGGCAAATGACATAAATGTTTGTAAGCTGGTTCACTTGAACAGTGGTCTGATTCATCTTTGCCAACTTCAGAAGCTTTTGAGAGTGGAGAAGCTCGAAAGAACATCTCAAAATATCACAAAAACATGTTCAGTCGTCAGAAGTTAAAAGGTTGGAATATCGATAAAAGCAGAAACGCAATAAAAACAGATTTAGCCAAATCATTGCTGACCTGCAGATTTTTGCCCAGGAAAGCTTGGAGGAAACCGCTCTTCCCACTACCCCGCGCTCCCAAAATGTTGCAGCGGAAGACGCTGCGCTGGGTCTGTTTCTTCTGTAGATCGATGCGCTTGTTACGTGTCACTGAAAGAACAGGGAAGGATATACAATGAACAAAAAATGCTGCAATGTTCACGTATAAATTTCTAACACACCTAGGAAATCTTTAAGACAAGATAAAAACTGAAAATATAACTGAAAAATACAGGTACTGATCAATGGTACTTAAATAATTAATATTTACTACTTGGATTTTTTAACAATCAACACACAATTCTGTAAATCTCTCACCTGTAACAGCAGCTGCTTGGGACTCCTGTTCATAGATGATGGAGTAGCCCAGGTAACCTAAATACTCTAAACTACGCTGTACATCTAGATACGTTGTTAACCTGCCACAGAAAACACATAAGACACGATGACACCAGGAGCATTGCTTTTAGATTTGCACGAATGATGCATGTCCTACAGTCAAAGCATTTCAAAAATAGGAGCACGTGTTTATTAATAGATATGTTCCACACTCACGTCCACTGCGAGAGGTATCCCTGGTATGTGATCCATCCCTGATCGTTAGTGCAAACAGTGTTGTTGACATCCGGACCCCAAGGCATGTAGGGAAACACTTTGAACAAGTCCTTCACCTCCTCTGGCGACAGCGCGCAATCTCTATCCTGGATCATTCAAAGTGCACATAAATCAACAGACATAAGTTTAACCACATCTGGACACAAAAAAACACGGGCGACAAGTGAAATGGATATGAATAAATACATGGACGAAACTCAAAAGTGGTTATTCCTGAAAAAAATTCTATTGTATTATAAACAAGACTAGTACAGACATTTTAAAAGAAACAATATTTCTAATTATCGAAATGAAAAGGCTACAGATGTATGTTCAAGAACAGGAAAGCTTTAGAAGTCTGGCCACTCACTTTGTCGTGCTTGTCAAACACACTCTGAAGGAAGAGGTAAGCGTTGTGATTCAGCTCAGTGGTGCAGTCAGGAGGGATCTTTATCCTGGAATACAAGATCAGACGCAAACATGAATTTGACAGAGAGCTCTGAGGCACTGAGATTTCTGATGCGGCTGCAGGAAGAAACAATCAGCTTCAATCACTTCAGATGGTAAAGATAACCAGGCTTGCCTAGTGACAACATTATGTTTTTCTCTGCTGTCTTTCCCTCAGCATGGAAATCAATGCATTATTTTATTTTAGCCATTTTTTTGGTGAGAAGACAAAGAACTTCAATTTCATTAACATGATCTTCAACCAGGAACATAAAAGCTCAATATTCCCACATCTACCTTCTACGTCTCCACTCCACCTTAAAATGGCCTTTAAATCTGGACTCACATGGGGAACAGGTATTCCTGGGTGAGTTCCAGGTCATCGTCATAACCGAACCGTCTTAGCACAGTCCAGGTGGTTTCGTGTCGACCTCGCTGTATGAAGAGGGTGTGCAGGAACAGGAAGCCTGCAACAACGAGCCAGTAAGAGAGGGTCAGCGTTTAAAAGCCGATGAATATGGGACAGAACAAGTATTGGCTGAAAAGGGACAATTGACGGGACGTGTGGAGCGATAAGTAGTGAAGAAGAAGAGAAAGGAAGGAGAAGGAATAAGAAAACCTTTGACTCTGACCTTTGAGTGTGAGTCCATTGTCCGTGACTCCATCTCCCATGTTCCTCCTGACAACGTTCTTTACATCCTCTAAGGCCTGTGGTGCCAGTGGCGTATTGAAACATGTTCTCTATATGAACACAACAGGTGACATGTTAATCATAAAACAAGGTCACGGACTATGGAAAGCTCATTCATTTGATCCATTTCCAGCCATTTCTCCTCTTTATTATTATTATTATTATTATATATTAGGCAGCTTAATGAAAACGTCTATGAAGTGGAAAACATTACCTGGAAGAAGTTGAGCTCATTGTCATTGAGAATTCCGTCGTTGTCAAGGTCAGACACTTTAAAGATTCTAGTTAAAGACTTAATGCAAGAGGACTTCAGCTGTAATACACAAAGAATGCATTCATTTAGGTGGTTACATGTATTTCTATAATACACACAGATTTAAATTATGGCAGCTAACTTTAAAGATACTATACTATTCAATACCTCCAATACTGCATACCAATCTGAAAATAAACACTGTATACATCATTCACTGGAACATAACGAGAGACTTTTATATTCTTTACTTCTTTCTTCATTATTTTTAAAGAAAGAAACTCATTTACCGACGTTTTCGATCTGTAAAACCTAGTTAGCTTAAAGTATGATGATGTTTCACTCATACAAATGTTGAATTTCTGGATCCTGTGCTCAAGGAAAAATATAAATGGAGTATTTTTCAGATAAAACATCACAGTGGGGAAATGAATGATTGCTGTATTTAGACGCTTCAGTGTCTGAGTCCTGGTTTAGAACTTCCAGCAAAACTTAACAAATCATTACTTGTGTTACTAAGAACAATTTTTCTTGTCTTGCTACGACCTGTCAAAATGTCTGCCATGAGGAATGTATTTTATACATGCTGGCTAACCATCATGACTTATTGAACACAACAAATGAGCTTCTCCTCCTATGTCAAGTTAAAGTTCTGGGTGTGCATCTACTGAATAGACCTCACCTCCTTCTCCTCTGGGCAGTACAGGGGTCCTGTCGGGTGGAGAACGGCCTTCTGGGCATAATAAAACAGCTCAGAGATGTTTTTCAAGTTTTTGGCAGAGCACTGAGGAAACAAAGCACACGTGTGTAAATTACATGACTGAGAGCAGCCTTCAATGATTAACAGGGATTTTACTTTTTCTATACTTTTACATCAGAGAGATTTTGAATATAGTACTTTTTTCCTGTGGTACTTTTTTCGAGCCAAAAACATTTTAATACTAAAAAGAGATGTAGGTAATTCAGAGAAGCGACCCTTGGCCCAGGTGAACACTGAGTGGTGTACGAGTCCAACTCTCAGGAGCTGAGTGACTGTCCCAAACTGTATCCACTGTGTATGTGCCTTCCCTCACGTCCTCCTCCGACCTTCTTTTAACTCTGTAACTAATCCAGCCCTGGAGGGCATAACTGAGGCATATCATGCGACAGAGGGAAATTTGAATTGAATAGCGACAGAGGTCAGCATCTTCAACAGCCATTCCTCTCAACATACTCAGTTGGCTTCAGAGCAGTCGGTGCGGAATTATAAACCTTTTTACGACTCAGTCAGAGAGTGAGTTAAATCAGGAGCTGCACTGCAGTCTGAGAGCAGCTGGGGGGCAATCTGTCCCACACACAGCCAGGCTCAAAATGACAGCCTCTGCTAGTATTGAATTTTCAATCATTTTTTCATATTTTATTTGCCACTTCATTGCTCTCGAGTGCCTCATTACTTTAACACCTCTGAACCAGTGGATCCAATAAATAAATATGCGTGTGTGTGTGTGTGTGTGTGTGTGTGTGTGTGTGTGTGTGTGCGTGTGTGTGCGTGTGTGTGCGTGCGTGCGTGCGGGGTTGTATCTGTTCTGCATTGATCTCTTACCTCTACACAGGTCTCAATATCTTGGTATTGATTCATGATTGGCAGGATGGTCTCCATGCTGCTGTGTTCCACCAGGTCCGACTTGTTCCCCACGAGGATTAATGGTACCCTGTCATTTAGTAAAACCAGTTATTATTACATTAGCTGTTAACCCCATCGATCAGTTCAACTAATCTGCAACTTATCTATAAATCTATGCTTGGTAGATTAAGGCCATTTTTTATCATATCAGTCAAAAATACTCTGGAGCCTATATTTCATGCAGTGTGTCATGAATTTTACTACAAGTTAGCTCAATGTAAAAAAGTGTTCAATGATCTGCTGATTCAACAGGCTTGAAAACAAAGCTGAATAATATCAGATCTCAACATTTCTGCAATGTCTGTTTTTGTGGCTGAAACAACAATATTGTATCAGATAGTATGCCACAGACTAACTAATGAAATAAACAACCAAATCCCATCTAAACATGGTTCGCTGAAAAATAATCCTAATATGGGACAGACTTCCAACAGCAAGTGAAAGTTGGACCAGCAGCTGCACATTCTACCATTTCAATATGATAAGATCGCAAATGCAAACAAAAATCCTATACTGATGTGATATATGCAGGGAAGACACACACAAACACACATCTGTTGTGTGACAAGAACGCACCTGCTATCTTTATCCGTTCTGTCATTTATGAGGGGAATCCAGTGGCTTGTCACCTAGAGGATAGAAGCACAAAATCAAACACTGTTGAGGACACTCGTTACAAACACCAGTTCATTTTCACAGATTAAAATGATTAAAGCTCTGGAGATATGCAGTTATGTATTTAATTAACTGCAATGAGGGAACAGTGAGAAACTTTGCTCACCTTTTCAATGGACTTCTTGTTGTTGACGGAGTAAACTATGCAAATAACATTTGCCTATTAAGACAAATAGCAAAGTCAGTGTGATGCAAATAAGACGTATTAGGGTGTGAGACATTAGGAGAACAAACTAGTTTAAGAATTAAGTCAAACCAACCTTGGATATTTCTTGATACAGCTGCTCGTCTGACTGTTCTGCTTCTAAATGATTTCAAAAATAAACATTGGTATAAGTATATTGCATAGCTGCTAATTAATTCATTTATGTAATATTAATGCGTAGTGAGGTAGAGTGGTGGAGCTAATGGAGGGACAGAGTTGGCGTAGCTGTGGAGAGTTTACCCGAGTAGTCCACAATATGTGTGGGCACCCTCTCTGGGGTGACGTCTGCTGGGATGGTGATTTCTTCAGCTCGGAGGGGAACCTGGAAGACAAAGGACAATTATCCCGATGAATATTACGTGTATGTGTATATATTCAGGGTGTGGAAATATTCACAGCTATCATGACCATATTTGTGAGTGTGATGATGATCTGATGACACATACCTCATCAGGAAACTCTTCACTGACCAGAGACATAATCAGGGATGTCTTCCCCACTTTGGCTGTACACAGGGGAAGGACAAAGGAAAAACATGTTATGGAACTCCGGTTATACATTCATCTTTTAAAGACCATGTGTCATTACCATGTGACATCTCATGCCTTTTTTTAAATCAGTGTTCTGGTTTATGTATTAAGTGACAGGGAACAGATAACAGTAAAGAGGGTAAAGGGCAGCAGACAAGTGTCTTTGACTCTTTCCACCTCATTCAAATGTAAGAATTTGCAGATTTTCTTTGTTTAATATTTACTGCAAATTAAATATCTTTGTATTTTGGACTTTTGATCAAATAAAACCAGTAAGTTGTGACATCACTCTGTGAATTTATTATTATTTCTAACATCTAACAGACCATTTATGAGAATTACAGCCCTAGTTAGCACAAACACTTGATTCTCATTGTCTTAACAGGACAGCTATGCCACCAACTCTACTGAAGTCAACACCACTGAAGTGGGCCTGCAGCATTTTGGCCGCACCTCTCACAGGAACAGTCAGTGCGTCCTCGCCCAAAAGAGGCAACGAAGGCCGCACTGCATAGACATTGTTGAAATATATATAGTCTTGACAACACATGCACAAGAGAACAAACATTCAAGGTGAAACGGTTTAAAGAGGACGGGATCTTTTGCATTTTGATTTAACTCTGCTCTGATTACTGCGTAAAAAGGTTGAGATTTTATCCATTACTCTGCTGCATTTTATCTCTGTGCCAACTCCAGCTTTAGTTAATCAACTATTCTAATAATCTATTAGGTCATTTTCAATACAAGATGCTTTCTTGTGTCACAGCTTCTCAAGCAGGAGGCTTTGCTGCATTTCTTCATCTTACATAACAGCAAAGAGAGTATGTTCGGGTTTATTAATGCTATTCAAATTTAATAAGTAATATGGAGGCATTGCCTTGGGCTAGGGCTGGGCAATAAAACACTACACCACACATCAAAATCAATACAATAAATTCAATAAATAAGACATAACTGATCTACCTCAGATTTGCAGAATTTGGTTTGTCATTCTCTTTTAAGAAAGAAATGCCCTTCCTTGGGCTTTTGGAAAATGTGACAAGAAAATAAACTTCAGATTGATGATGAGAACAAATTTCTGTTTTACCTAGTTCCAATAACAGTAACTCTAAATTCTGCAGAGTAAAAACTACTGTTTGCAGTGTTTTGTATTTAGATGACTGTTTTATTCGATGTCCCACGTGTTTTATTATATTATCTGTTTTAGGTGCATCAACATCATCCTCTTTATAGACGGTGAACAAGTGAAGCACTGGGGAGGATTGATGTTCAGTGCAGAGCCACAGTTCATGGCAGCCCCCTCCTCACGTTGTGTGGAGGTCTGAGTGTTAACACATGGAAACACTGACGACATTCAGCCCCCACACATCACACACCAGACTCTCCACTCGTTCTCCTCGGGTGTTGAACAAGTCTCAGCCTCTGACTGATCTCCATCCACATGAATTTACAAGCGCATGATTAGCATTAGCTCCCTCATTAGCGCGTTAGCTAACCCAGCGTCCCACCGCCTCGGGGTTACAGCCGCCTGCCACTTACGTTCCCCTACGAGCAGTATCCTCACGTCCTTCCTCATGGCGGAGCTTCTTGTCCTCTACGGTAACGACACAGTCTTTCTTTTTATCGTCTCATGTAGTTTCCTCCGCCGGCAGTTGAACCGTCGGGCCTGCGCACTCGCGTCCTACCGCTGTCAAACTCCCCAGCGCCTTTGTAGGACAAACCGGACGGACAGGGTTCGGTCGCTCCGCGGTTCTTTCAGCGAGCTTTTCTTCGCCGTGAGCGGCTCCTCGGCTCATTGGAGACGAGATTTACAGAGTCGTGAGCGGCGCATGTGTCCGCAGCTTCGCGTTAAACTCGCTGCTTTTGGCGCTTTCTCGGGATTTCGCAGTGGATGTTACATACGAGCTCCTGACCTCCAGCACCCGGCAACTACAGCGAGCCGCGCAGGACAAACCTCATCCGGCATTAAGCAACGCGTTACGCTGCTCTCTGGTGCCAAGAAGTGGAACTACAACTACTACAGATGGATGGAGAGAGAGAGAGAGAGAGAGAGAGAGAGGGATAGATGGATGGATAGAGGGATAGATGGATGGATAGATGGATAGATGGATAGATAGATAGAT